CGAAATTAAATCTGAGCAGATTGTTTACTGATAGGAAAATCTGATCTAGGGCAGAAGTTTAACCCATTGAATCTGGGTCATCAGAAGACAATGGAAATGTTTGTAATAATTTATATAGGTTAAAAATTGAATTAGAGCTGAGTAAGCGTGAAGCAACTTTGGAATTCACATGATTTTGGTTGAAGCAGCCAGAACCCCGTGATAATCGCATGCGAAGTAGTAGGGCCGAGGGTCTGTTATAACCAGCCGGGTTTATCTATATAAACGCGTAGTTATGCTGAAAAAAACAAACGGGAGAAAATTCTTGAAGAGAGAATTGGCCCGGGTGAGCGTTGGGAGGAAGAACGCTACTATAACTTTAAGCCCCGCACAGAAATTTTTTCCCTCTATCGCAAGAGTCATATATCGTTCTGAGACGATTTAACAACAAGATAATCATATACACTCTCTCCTTGTCTAGAATCCAGTGTATGATTTTTATATTTTTGTTTTTGTTTATTTTTTGACTTTTCTTTTCTGTAACCTGTTTGTCTTCTCTACTGTTCTTTTCTGCTACCTAAAAGAAATTACCAATTCAATCATTGAATCGATATTTGTCCTGCTTTCTGCAGATATATATATATATATATTTTTTGCTGCTTTCTAAATTTCTAAGCGTAGACTCCCCAGCCGTGTTTACATCTTCAGTCGACCGTGAATAGATGGACATCACTTCTGCTTTCTGGATCAAACAAATCACAACGTGGGCAGGAAGCAGGATTAAACCAGCGGACCGGTCGAATAATTTCAGGGGACCTATGGCCACTCCCTTAAGTTCGGTTAGGACCGAGTAGACACCTCAACAACGAGCGTAAGACGCCGGAGGTTGAGGGGCCGGGGCGAAAGTGTTAGAAAATGAACAGTAGGAGAGTAATCGATGCTCATTTTGGACATTTTGTTTAGATGCTGAGTGTTTTATAGATGATCTCTGCCGTTCCGCAGAAAGTAATCATTTGTCTCTCTGTGATGCCGATGTGTCCAGGAATATCACTCGATACCATTCTTAATCTTACCTGATGTTCCTATCACAGTAGCGACAATTGTAATTTTAAGTTTTCATATTTCTCTTAATTCGATTTGCAGGTCCTTCTCATTTGAAAGCCATTGAAATTATATTTTGGAAACACTGGAGTCCCGTGGGCAAGTCACATCAATTATTTAATACGTTCCATTTAAAAATAAAACTATTATGACTATGCTTGGTTCATTTGCATCGATTTTCCTGTCTGTGAGGATTGCGAAATTCCACAGAAAACTTTGGTGAATACGAGTAAAAATAATTCTCTTTTCTCTGCTGATTTCAAATTCGCGAGCCTATGCGAAAATTTATTTTGAGCCGTAGAAAAATAGGGAATTGGCTCAGGGCTGAAGAAAAGGCCAAAGCAAAATTTAACGAGCCTATGTGTAAATTTATTTTGACCAATGGAAAAGGGAGAGGCATACAAAATATGTAACGAGCCTAATGTGACATCACTTTTTGATATACATAGGCAGAGAAAGTTGAACCAAGGTAGAGAGAGAGGGGAAAAAGCAGAAAAAAGTAGTAGGCAGAAAGCCAGAGTTCCACGCGGCTGAATAACGCCGGTGTCAAATTAAACGCTGATGCCTCTAATGTGAGCAAGACCATTTCAAAGAGTTCTATTCAACATCAAAGCTATGTTAAAATATATCTTTTCATTCATGTTGAATACAACCGTATGAATTTTATGTGAAAAACGAGCTCTCTCACTTTGTTTTAAACATTTTCGAATATTACTTTGTGTTCGATGATTTAATATGAATATTTTCTCTTCTTGACTATACCTTGAAACTACGAAATTTTAATATTTGATTCCTTTTCCTGAAACAAGCTACTGTTAAGTTCAAATGTGTAAATTTGTAAATAAATTCCTTATCTTCTTTCGTTAAATATAACACCTGTGTTTCTTCGTCATTTTCCCTCAGAAATCATAATCACTCCATCACTATTTCTCACATTATTGAATGGGTGTTTGTACCATGTATCTGGAACTTCAATACCATAGGTAGAACCGAAATTCCAATAAATATATTTTCTTAGACTGTTATTTTGGCCCTGATCTGACATCTCGTCTGTTGTCGCTCTCTCACAGACGTGCCGTTGCCTCCCTCTGTCTTTTTTACAAATACTATCACGGTAACTTCTCTGATGAGCTGCTTTCGCTGGTTCCCAGACTTCATGAATTTAAGCGTTCTATTAGGCTGGCGTCTCGCTCTCACGCCTGCACTGTCGAAACTGTTAAATGTAGTCGTCTCTTCTACTACAATAGCTTCATGTCTCGCACATCTCGCCTGTGGTACTGCCTCCCCTTTTCCTGTTTCCCTGATAGCTATAATCTCCAACTATCCTTCTGTTCATCCTTTCCTCTAGCACTCCTATTTGCTTCCGCTCCAACTCACTGAAACCTCTTGCGTGATAGTGGCTTCCCGCCTTGCTTGGGGTGAAACGCTTAAAAATATTCTAATAATGCATTATTTTCCAGTAAGTTATGGGCATACTGATAAAATGTGACCAACAGCTTCATCAAATTTATAGCGCAGGCAACAGACGAGACGTGATCCAACTTTGTTCATTTCAAGTGTGTAGGCATTAGTTGGAATATATTGGTCTTGTACTGCCATAATAAAACCTACCGTCTCCCTATCAAGACCACTGCTTCTAGGCCATTGATATGTTTGGAGAACACCGATGTCTGTTTGGTCTAGTCGTTTTGGGTACTTTCTATTCATGTGTTTATATCACGATTTCGATTCTAGAGTCTTCATATCAGCAACTGTCACCAGTAACTTAATTTTCTTTGTTACAGCAATGAGGGCTTCAGGGTATTGTCGACCTGATTATCTAGTACATCTTAGGAGTTTCCTATTTCTTGGCTTTTTGATTAATGATGGAAGTATACTTACGACTTTTTTGCTGCAGTGCAGCCTTAGCATATTTATCTCGTGTCGTTTCTAATTATTTTACAAAGCCTGCGATTGATGATTTAAAATATATTTCAAACTGAATTACCAAATACATTATATCAATATCAACATTATGATGGCGCATGCGATGTTTAGTTTAGTGACTTACGTATTTTGAAATCAATGCGTTCTATATCACAGAAGCTCCATTTTATAAAGCTAAATCTGTAGGTAGCAACGGTTATTGCCAATATATTCATTGCGTCCATTTTATTCAATAAATTCAGTTTCGACTGAAGTATCAGCCGCCCTCTTACATTTGCATCATTTTCTTTACCTTCATTTTTGTGTGCTGTTTGCCAGTTTATTCTTGAATACAAAATTATTCGTAAAATTCATTTCATAGGTCCTTAACAGTAGCATTGATACCTGGCACTATATTACTAGATTTAATAAATTTCCCTGCTTTAAAAATTGTCTTGAAAAACTTGTCCAGAACGAACTCCATCCAGTCATCATCGCTGAAAATCCGTTACTGTATTCAGCATGGATTTGAGACTTTTCATTTCTCGCATAAAGCTTGATGTCATCTATGTAGAGTTCCTTAATGGGACGTGTGCAGATTTGGGTTTGGTTTGGTTTAGTTCACACTATATAAGCCTGAATATGTTAATTAATTCCGACAAGATGTTTATTGCTGATAATATTTTTTACCAAAAATGTATAGGTGGTAATGATTTTTTTTTATAAACTTCATTGCTGGTAATAATTTTCTCCAAAATTGTATCGATCGTATTAAAACTTATTTTTACATTTCCGTAGGGTTTTGACCCCAGGTTGAGGGTTAACTAATTGCCCATATCTGAGACCATAACAGGTGTTACCACCCCGCGTCAGGGTGGATCTGGGAAAACCTGCAATTAAGAGGTGGTTCCACGCTCTTCAAAACCTCCCGAGCAGAGGCCTTTCTGCTTGATACAGTTTATCGTCTTACCCAGGACGCGGGTGTAGTTTATCGTCTTATTCAGGACGGTGTAGATTTTGTAACTCCTGTAACTTCTATTTGAATTGTTGAGAAAAGTAGACAGACACAAACCAGCAAGACAGTAGCGGAATGGTGAAAGTGAATTCCCTTGGTATATCCCGCTTTTGACACTTATATTATTTATGTTAAAATCAACAGTTGTGTGGTTAAGTATGAGAAATGTCTTCTCTGCATGTATACTGAACTTAATATATTCACTGAATTTCAGTGACATTTTATAGATCCGTAGAGCTTTCATGAACCCACCATAGCATCACTGTTAAAAGCTTTTTTTCTAATCTGTCTAATAGTGCTTATGTTTCTGCACGAATTCTTACAATTCTTCAGTTTCATCTTCATAATGAGGGGTTGATCTTTGAATCCATATGAGCTTTTCTTTTCTTTTTTGCATTCCATTTGTTCATCCCGAAAAAGCTGATTTTCTTCCAGGATGAAGTTGCTTTTCTTGGTGATCATTCATGGCAGAATTTTGTAGGCAGTGATTAAATATTTGATAAGCCTGTAATTTCGGCAAGCAGGTAAGTTAACCAGCAGGGTGATCTTGCAGAATTCTTCAAGATCTCCAAACAGATATCGATCAGTGAATTATGAATTCTTAGTAGACAATGTAGCCACAAAATTGTGAACTTTGTCTCTCCCAGGTAATTTTCGCTCCTTTGCTCATCTGACTTCGTCTGAAGTGATGTCTAACCACTCTTGTTGGTTTGGTTGTGAGTTTGTTTGTTTCTTTTAGCGGCATATTGACATATATAGGTCATCTAAAGTCGGAATCTAAAGATTGTTTACGTAATTTTATTTTATGGGGATAATGACGGCTTAGTGGTAAAAGTCTTAGTAATTAACCAATAACTGAGGGGGAAAATATGTGGATTCATACAATTCCCAATGATATATGCGCGTAAATAAATATAAGGAACCAAATGTAATTGGAACTCGTCTCTCTGATTAAAAATTCCCAGACATTATATATTACACAACTATCAAATCCAAGCGCAGACATTACCTAGTGTCCCGATGCGCTCACACATCTTGGTACTGATCAGGATCGATGTTGCTTATCTTCGGTGATCGCACGAGAACTGGTGTTTCAACGAGATGTGTTCGTAAGCCACCAATTTTGTTTTTCATTATTATTTATCATAGATTCATGGTCACCTTTCTCGTGTGCTACTGCGTTGAAGGTTCCAGGTTCACCCCAGATGTTCTTTTCAAAACTTTCCTATATAACCGCATGTTGGTGGCTTGTCAACTTTAATGTTACATTTACCAAGTTATCTGTAGAATTTCGTGGTATCTTCTTTCAAAATTTTTTGATATCTCTATATAAGGCAGAGTCTATTTCTTATATCTTATCAGACTTTTGGCCTTTAGCTGAAGCTTTTGGTTAAGATTTCAATTTGATCGTCAATGTTATCTCTGGGCAGATTATATTTCCTCGTGATTTTTTAGATGTTTATTTCGTTTTGATGTTTTCTTCGATTCGTGTTCCTTTAAAGAGGAGATGAAATTTCTTCTTCTTCTTCTTCTTCTTCTTCTTCTTCTTCTTCTTCTTCTTCTTCTTCTTCTTTTTTCATAATCATTATTTTATTTCCTTTGATTTCTGGTGTGTACTCATTTCTTACCTCGTCCCGTCAAGAGATATAAGGTCAGAAATAGCATAATGACATTTTCCAGTGAGCAATTAAAAAAAAAAAAACATTAAAAAATCACACACATATTTTACATCGATAAAGCCCTTCGTAAATTTTTTGTTGTATTCGTGAAACAAATTTATTGTATTTCTTTAAGGCATGGGCTACCAGGTATCCCTTCAATGAGTCTACTGGAATCTTTTCCAATCAATCCAAGGGCTCCACTACAACAGGGATTTTTGATGTTTTCATGTGCCACTTTTTGAGATTTCGATTTCAAGGTCCTTGTATTTTGATAGCTTTTTGAAGATCTTCAAAGATACATTGCCGTCTGTAGGGACTACCATATCAATAAGGTGGCAATTTTTTTTTGTTTGTTTGCGTTTTCTAATAACGATGTCTGGGTGATTAGCTTTGATTTTTCTGTCCATGTGTATTGTGTAGACCCATAAAATCGTTGTAGGTTCTATCTTCGTAACCAAGTGTTACAGCTCCTATCTCTGGAACCGGATTATTATTATTATTATTGTTATTATTATTATTATTATTATTATTATTATTAATAATTCTTTTGGTGTCATTACCTACATATGCATTCTACCGTGTCGAATGCAGAAACATGAGTTGTGAGAAGTCTCGTCATACGAGAGTTTACTCAGCAAAGCCGATGGTACTAGCATTTATTCCATTTTAAAACAAGCGTATTGTTATATTCTCAATATACTATCCAACTCTTATATTTTTCGGCTGGATGGTGATGATCATATCTCAACTCCTATCCGAAGCTTAGAATAAAAAGACTTTCCTCAGCATATGATTTGTTCATGTTATCCGCAAGGCGTCCTGCGAGACAGTCAAACTCACAAGAAAAGTGCCGAGTGTGCCAAATAGAAAATGGCAACTTGAGTCGTTCTTTGGTATATCTTTTTTTTATTTTCCCTGCTATTTCTCGGTGCTGCTGTATTTTTCTTCCTCAGCGTTTATGATGTTCTTGTCCCAAGATATCAAAAAAGTTCAACTCGTGGCTGCTCTTGTCTGCAGGTGTGATATGTAGGCAATTTATTATTATTATTATTATTATTATTATTATTATTATTATTATTATTGCCAAAATATCTGGTTTAATATGGTAGCTTAAATCTGGCATCGATTCATTAACATAGAGAATGTACACTAGAGGCAAAATGTTTGGGAACATCTTGCATTTCTTTAAAGAAACATCCTGATAATGAGACATTTTTTGCATTTGGTTAAAACAAAAGATAAATTGTCAGTAATAACACTGAGTTTGCTTTTATTTTTCAGTCTTTTCGTCAGGTTCCTCTCTCTACCAAAATGTTCAAATTTAGATTCTGTCCACAATAGATTTTGAAAAATAATGGATATTTCGTATTAGAAACATTTTTTCACCCTCAACATGTCAGTAACGTTTATTTCTATAACCGAAAGTGCTGAAGATTCGATTCAGGTCACTGGAATCATGAAAAAAAAACAATAACATTCGACTTTCAAAAGCCCTGCTATAACACCCTGTTTACACATAAGCGGAAAAAATTCACTCTTCAACGAGACAACAACCCAAAACATTCTGCAGAATTATGCCCAAATTAACACGAGTAAAAATAGGAACACAATTTTGGAAGTTATGACATGGACAGCTGGAACTCTTGATTACTTTCCCATTGTATTAATATGGGATAAATTGAATAGCAGATTCCGAAGAAAATACTTAAATCGTGAGGGTGAGCGTTGCCAATCTGTCCAGAATGTTTGGGAAGCTCAGCGATCTACTTTTAATAAAAAAAAACTATTGGAATGAATGCCATGAAATTGTAAAGCAGTAATTAAGACAGATGGTGGTTTTATTGACGAAAGCAAAATATGATTCTTTTGCATAATATTTTTTATAGTTAAATGCTTATTGTTTGTCAAAATGAAAATAAATACAGATTTTTACATTTTACTTTTAAAAAATACGACAAATATCTCATCTTAAGGTGTTTTTAAACAAATGCAAGTTTAGGCAAAACATTTTGTCTTTAGTGTATACAAAATGCTCATCATAAACAATTTTATAGCCAGAGTATAATTGATATCCTCTTCAGTGGAAATATTTAATAATAAACACAATAACATAAACTAAATTATGAATAATACTTCATTGATTTGTTTTTTTACGGCTTTGTGGGATGTTCAAATATCAAAGTTATCTTGGATTTTAAGAACATTTATATTTTGCGTATGAATATTGAATCAATAATTTGGAGAATAATAACGATTTTTCCCTAATACAATTCCTACTATTTGGCACATAGGAGAAGGAGATAGACTCATATCTTTCCAAGGGTGTTAGCGGTAATGGTTTTATTGTAAAATTATAGATAGATCAATGAAACATATAGAGTTCTTAAGACGAATGAAAAAAATGAAGGAAAGAATTATAAAGTTAAATGGAGTAAAAGATGAATAAAAAGTGATGAACAAAAGAAGAGAGAAAAAGACAGACAAAAGGATATGATGAATTAAAAAAAGAAAATGATCAGAAAAGAGAGAGATATGATTTTTTTTTTTCATATTTAAGTGCTTATGTTTTGTCGAAATCAAAGTAAAAACAATGAACATACTGACATGTTACCTTTTACTTTAAAAAAAAACAAAAATTTCTCGTTTTAAGGTGTTCTTTTAAAGAAATGCAGGAGCGGCCGAATCTTTTTGTCTGTAGTTTATACGGATGAAGGCAACATGATGGAAGAATATAGTTAAGCAAATATGGCGTCAAGGATTTTGGGAAAACGAGGAATATGTACCATTCTTATTTCCTATTTTATTGAAGCGTTTATTCCGGTTTGCTGTCAGTTCCATAAACAATTATTAAATCATTTATAAATTTAATTTATGTTTAATGAGAGATCTAGCCATAGAATAAAGGTGTGTAATCTTTTCTTTCTATATATTTGCAGAGAATTTAACATTCACTGTGATTTTCAAAACTACTGCTTCATGTCATTTTGTTTCTTACATGTATATGCTTTGTTTTTCTTCTTCGCTTTTTTTCATTTAGCTTGCACTTATTTTCTTTCTCTTTCTTTTTGTTCATTTAAATACTTTTTTCCTCGTCGTTACTTGATTTGAATTTACTTCTATGTTTTTTTTCTCTTTATTCGTATTTGCCTTTATTTATTTTCCTTTCTCTATTCTTTCGTTCATTGATTCTATGTTTTAATCTATTTTTTCTGCATTACACTTCTTTCTTTCTTTTAATCTTTCTCTCGGTTAAAGGCTTGCGGTAACATCACTATGATACACCGGCTCCCGCACGATCAACGGGGTTAAGCAACGCCGTGCTTAGATGAGTGACCGATCGGAAAAAATAATGTGCTGTTAGTTTGGATACGCTGTTGTTGGAAAGAACTGTTAATCGGAAAGCCGAGTAAAATTCCCGGTGTCTTCGTTATATTTACTTGCGCTCAAATACACTTGGGAATGGTATGGGGCCTCATATATTTCCTCATCTATAGGTTAATTAGTAAAACTTGTTTATCTAAACGTTATTATGCCAAAAAAGGTCTTAAAATATAAAAATATTCGTTGATTTTAAATAACCTTGCAAAGGAGTTATAAACCATAAAAAGCGAATCTATCAAACAATGAAATCTTCATATCTATCTATCGACTTGGGTTATTCTTATCTTTCTATCTCGATTTCAACATATCTATCCGCCTTTCTGTTTCAAATCTTTATCCCCGTCTCCTTTAATCATTGCTTCTTGTCTCATATTTTCTGTCATTAAATGACCTGCAAAGGGTTGATAAACTGTAAAAAACGAATCAATCAAACTCCCCTATGCGCCCGTACTTTTTGTATTTTTTCGTTTTTTTTTTCTGTTGATTTACATTTTGATTGATTCTTTTTTTGTTTGTTTTTTACCATTTCCTTTTTTCATTCAAATTTATTCGCTTCCTTCGTTGCTTATGTCTTATTTTTCGTTCATTTCGTTCTGGGTTATCTACCCTACCTTCATATTATCAATTCTTCCATGTTTTGCAAATTTCAATCCATTTATAATAACTTTACTGGCTCTTCTCTGGGATTCCTTCTTTTTTTTTACTTTCTTCTGAATAATTCTTTCTATTTTTATATATTTTATATTTTCTCTTCTTTCCTAAATTTCTTTCTTTTTTAAAATCTATCCACATCTTATACTTTCTTTCGCTCTACTTTTTGTTCATTTTCTTTTTTTAATTCATCATATCCTTTTGTCTGTCCTTTTCTCTCTTCTTTTGTTCATCACTTTTTATTCAGCTTTTACTCCATTTAACTTTTAATTATTTCCTTCATTTTTTTCATTCGTCTTAAGAAATCTATATGTTCAATGACTTATCTCTAATTTTATTCACCGTTACCTATTAATATCTATCTTCCCTGATAGTCTAGCGGTTTTTTTTTTCTTTTCTAGTCATATT